CCAAGCCGTAGAGCCAGCGGTTGTCTGGAGACCGTTTCCATGATCACATGGCCAGCGTGACTAGACACGGAATGCCATGACCTTCCCACAGAGGTGGTACCTATTTATCTACTCGCATTTTTACATGCTTACGGCTAGGTTGGCAGGAGCTGGGACGAGCGACGGGAGCTCCCTCCATCGCATGGATTCAATCTTACGACTGCTGGTCTTCCGACCTTGCAGCACAGAGGCTTCTGTGGTTTAACCCGCAGCGCCACCACATCCCTGAAATACGGTGAAGAGGGAGGCAATTCAACACCATGTAGTTCTAATCTACCTTTTGTATATAGGGTGAAGAGGGAGGCAATTCAATACCATGTAGTTCTAATCTACCTTTTGTATAGTGACAACTGCTGAAAAACAGACAAGGCTGAAAAGCTGTAAGCTAGTGTAGAAACGACAGATGTTTTGGACTACAATTCCCAAACTCCCCAGCCAGTGGGAGTCATAGTTGAACACATCTGTAAAGCTGGACCTTGGGGGCCACTGTTCTAGATTTGACAGACTCAGCAAAGATGTATGCTGAAAGAGGAGCCATGCGTAGAGATCTGCCCAAAATACTTCGTTCGGTGTCCATTGTTGGTGGTCTGGAACAATTTTATTACTTGGAAGCCGTTCTTCTGTAGTGTCAACAAAACAAGAACACATAAGCTTTCCAAAACTAATAAAATGCAGGTCGGGGGGGAGAGAGAACAACCACTTTCTTGTAACAACCAGGAGGCAAAAATCAAAGTAGGGCTGTTATGAAGAAAAGCATCCGAAATAAAGAAATTAATGGGTTCTTTATCGCAAATTGTTTAAACTGTTTGACAGCTGTCCAGGCATTTGAAAAGCTGTAGGATTTTTTTTAAGGTATAAAAGAAGGTACTTTGTTTCTGATCAGGGACGTCTATGGTCATAATTATTCAAAGATCACATTGAAACCTACTTTGCATATATATAAATGTGAAGCAACAACAACAACAACTGCATGTTGTTAAGTCAATTCTGAGTCAGGGTTTCCAGAGTTTTCCAGGTAGAGAGTGCTCAGAGGTGTGCTACCATTCTCTTCCTCTAGGGGCGCCCTGAGACGGTGCAGCTGGCCCAAGGCCCCCCAGGCTGGCTCTTCTCGCCAGAGGCCCAAGTGGGGAATCAAACTCCCAACCTCTGGCTGTGCAACCAGAGACGTAACTCACTGAGCTATCGGCCAGCAAATTTGAATGACAATAATGTATTCGCTTTAGCTCGAACACATCACATTTTATGTCTAACTCTTCTTCTGCTCTGAAACGGGCCCTGCATTCTCCTGGCAATTCATTTTTCTTCTCCCCACACCTCGCACCCTAAGCAAGCTGCTAGTTATTGAGCATGTATAGGGCTGAAAACCTTTTGCATTTGTATGGAGACTCTAAGCATTGGCAAGACTGCTTATAAAGGGCTTTATACAGCCTTGGTTTAAAATATAAGCACACTCTCCCCCGATCAAAGCAGAACATAACGAAGTATGAGTGGAGAACATGTATCCATATGCAACAGGCCTACAGCAGAACAGAGTACAAATTGTCCCAGTTCATATTTTACTCGCCTCTTATTTCAAACTAACATTTAAGCCTTTTAAGACAGCAAACACTCTTCGAAAGACGTGTATGTAGCAGCATTATTTTCAAACAAGGTTACACACCAACTCTGGAATGACTGTCCAGATTACATTATGTAAAAGCTATCTTCCCCGTCGCCTATAAGGAGGTGAAATGTAATTACTGTCTTGGAAAAAAATGTGATTTAAATTAAAACTGTAGACTAAAAGATAACAGAACACACTGCGCATGAGCAGCCTAGTATGGCATCAGCCTGAAGGCATGGTCTCTGTTATTATGGTTATTATTTTTCATTCTTCTCTCAACGGACACATCCCAGGTTATTAGAATTCCCTCTTCAGCAGTGGCTCCCAACCTTGGGTCCCCAGATATTTTTGGGTGATAACTCCCAGAAGCATGCACCATTACCCAGGATTTCTGGGAGATGCAATCCAAGAACATCTAGGGAGCCAAAGTTGGAAACCACTGGTCTACACGACCAGGGAGAACCGGAAAGCAATGCCTGAGAGAGAGAGTGAGAGAGAGAATGAACTGCCCTGAAATAACCAGTGAGAATTCCCTCAGATGTACTCTGGAGATATCCTCAGTTCATGCAGTGTAACAAGAAAGGCCAAGACAAAGAGGAGAAACCAGTAGCTTATCTGGTAACCGAAATATGAGATGAAGAGGCAAATGGTGCTCCCACCACACTAAATAAGAACTTCAGAAGTATCCCTTCTTATTTTCCACATACCTTTGGATTCCTTGTTTGCCCATCTCTCTTATTCGGAGTATTAATTCTCAGTAGTCATCTCTAAAGCACTTTCCAAGGAATGTTGCTACTCGAGATGGGCACGATCCACTGGTTCGGGCTGGTTTGTTTAGTGGCCAAACAGGTCTTCGGACCTTCCAAGCCCTGCCTCCCCCAGCAAAGTGCCCACTCCGAGGCAGCGTCCTGGCTTCCCTGCTCTGCCTCCTCTGAGCGCCGCCTCTGAGTGGGTGCCCCACGGGCCGAGGCGGGGCTCAGAAGCAGCAAACACTTGATCAGCTGAGAAACAAACAACACAAACCACCAAACCACGAGTTCATGCCAATCTCTAGTTACTATCCAAATGAAGAAAGAAGACAGAAAAAACTCTGGATAAAAGAGTGAGAAGAAAAAGACAGCAGCACGCAGACATTTTATGGGGGACAGCACATCCACCCACATTTCACCCACACTGCCAAATTATCTTTCACTCAAATGCTGGCTTTGCCTGTATTCCAAGGCTTTGATTTCAACCCAGCCTTAAGTAAAGGAAATGGGGAAAACTTTCTCCACCACCTTAACAGGTATTTCCAGTCAGGGATCATCCTCGTTTACCTTCTTCCAGCCCTGACATATGCCCTGCAGGCTCTCCATTAAGTCACGCTTCATTTCTTCGTCATCAGAATGTTGCTCCATTGGGTTAAAAACCCATCCGATCAAAAATTGGATTTTCCCCACTCCGTCCCCCTTTTAACAAGTCTGTCACAAATGTGCCGTTGTGCTTTGCAGTTTCATGAGTTACTGCTTTCACAGGTGTTTAGACCAGGGGTACTTCTCATCTGAAGGAAGAAACCCCCAGGGAAAGCAAGGCATTAAACACATGGTTCTCCTTTCTCTGCAGGAGGGTTGAGCTACCTGCGGCTCTCCAGGTATCCTTGCATTTCAACACCCACGATCCTCAACCCATCGTTCTGCTGGCTGGGGCGAGTTACAACCTCCAAAAGGCCACAAACATTCTAAAAACCACAGAGGGGTGCAATTAACAGGGCAAGGGAACTCCCCTGATCAATTTTTAAAGAAGCATGAGAAGCAGGGTTGGTGGCACCAACTTAAGGACGAACCCACCTGAAATTTACAAGCAAGTGATGAGTCTAGAGGCTGAGAGAAGAAATTTGCTAATTTCCTGAGGTCACTAAACTGCTTCTGGAGTCCTTGTTGCTATAATATTGACTAATTATTTTTTTCCGTAATTTTCAAAGCTCTGCAGAACAAAAACCTGGTCCTATGACACCCACTTATTTCCATTCGTCTGCTCCAACAATAGGGCTTCCAGTTACCTGAATCAAGAAGGATGCAGCAGTGGGAGCCAGAAGAGTTCTCATCTTTCACTTTTCCATTATTATTTTTGCCCGAAAAAGCTCTGTATTATTCAAATGGCATCAGCTGCGTCCTATATGTGTTCATTAATGCAGTTCCTGTTATTTTGATCTTGAGTTCAATAGATTTTTCTGGGGCACACACTGTGTTATGAGTAAATTTCCACACTAGGCCACACACTTCCTAGATTTACTTTAGATCTGTTGCCAAGATTAATAGGGTCTCTTTCATGTTGCTTTCTTTGCCACATCTTTGCAGAGAATATCCCGAGATTCCATGTTGACTGTAATGTATCTAAGAGCTTCTGGAGTTCGCATTGCTGGTCTAATTATACAAAATGTGGTTTGCTATTTTCCAGACCTCCTTCTTCACCCATGGCTACCCCACGGCCTCTGCAATTTCACTTTAAAAAAAAAAAAAGGCCTTCCTCTCAACCACCTTAAAATAAAACAGAAGAACTGTGAAACAATCACATGCACATTCATACATTTCATGACTATATTTGTCAACAACGAACCACATTTGGAAATTGGTTAAGAAAGTAAATGTGAAGGATTTGGGGTGAGAAAAGGAAAAATCCCAAAACATATTTAGGAATGCTTAAGGACTTCAGTCACAATTAGTCTCCCTTGAACTAATGGGAAGAGCAGGACAGAGTTCTGTGTCCAATTTCACACTTCTCTGAATTTTGTGATACGGGTTTGGGTTTAAAGCTCTATCAAACACAAATGTTACAACAGGTTATAAAATGTATGTCAGTAGTAAAACGAATACCTATTATTATTTTATGATGAATTATTTTTATCACACACACACAAACGTTATGATAAAATTCTGATTTCTACACGAGGGCCAGAAGAGCGTGCACAGCTAAAGACCATTCAAGAAGCAACAAACCAGGTTTTACATCTGAATCAACCCTATCCGTTCTTTACTCCGATGGCTTTCCGTAAGCCTTTTCCATTAGCCGCATCCTTTCTGTAAATATTTGCTTTGAGTTTTGACTGCTGCTTGGTCCATGGGTGGAACTATTGCCTTTTTATAGACATTTGCCTTTTTTTTTAACATTACCCCCTGCTTCGTAAAACTCATATGTTTGGGAAGGGTGGAGATCCTCGATGAAAAGGAATAAAATTAACTGCTATTCATTACGGCCCGGTTCCCTTTAAAAATATTGCACCAGACATTAGATAATACTCTGCTTTGTGATCGCAGATGTCCAAGTCTCTCCCTGCGAAAGATGAAAGGCACGCCGTCATTTTCATATTCGGCAGACAAACCTGATCATCGTAGCGGTAGGTAAGGAACTGTTCTCCTGTGGTGTCCTCCAAAAAACTTCCTTGTGGAGACAGGGCAAATTCGGGCAGGAAGTACGCACCTTGGGGCTGCTCTGCCTTTGTCTGCAAAAGATGAGACAGGATCAGGTTACGATTGCTATAAAAGATAAGTTCCAAATATCTGAGACCTCCTAACTGTATGCCTCCCAGTTGCATGTGGCAGAGGAAACAATATCGAGTCCCTGTTTTATACCAAAAGCACAACTATCCGGTCGAAACTAGTTCCGCGCATATCTCATCCTCATCTTCCTAGGAGAACTGAAACACTTGCAACTTCCCTGGTGAGGAATTTCAGGGTCCTCTCCGCCGAGCTCTGATGCTGGCGAGAAATATGTTTTCAGCAAGTTTTGCTATTGTGCAAAATTATTTCCCTCTCCCCCTTTTGTGCAAATCAACAGAGTTCGCACAATGGCTCAAATGCACAGGAATTACCAAAAAACCAGGATAAAACAGCTGCTTTGTTGAAGAATTTGAAGCCCTAGATGGGTTGCTTGCAGCTTGCTCAGCCATCAGTCGGTCCTTCTGTCCTTCTGTCACAGTGGTTGCTTTGCATTTCAAAAGCAAAGGACACTGGAGGCCTTTTGTACAAATTGCAGAGAATGAGAGTCGGGGAGAATCAAGTTTCCACTGAGCCCATGGGCCTACTCTGGTTGCAACTTACCCAGCTGATGTTCAAAGCAGAAAAGTGAAAACTGGGCAGGATACGCAATTTAATCCACATCGTATTGAGAAAAACCACCCGTAGCCGACTATGGGTCCCAGCAACTTGCATCCCATTGAAGGCAAAGTGGCACCACTCCCATCAGTTTTAACAGCTGTCGACTGCACTCAGTTTCAGCCATCTGAATTCAATCCAGAAGCTTGGAAAATTTCAACCCAGGGGGTTAGATGGAAAGAGTTTTGCAATCTTTACTGGCTTGAATATTAGGCACCCAATAAAATTTGGGAAGAGAGAGCAACAATTGCTTTTTAAGAGTAGCAGCCTACTACACACTGCACAAGAAAAATATCAGACAGGCTCAAGAATCTAGCAGCCCCAGCAATATATATTATGTGAACACAACATTTTTCTTTCAGATCCGTAGGGTTGTGTGACAAATTCGCAGGCTTCACATTTTACTCTGGACTTGCCAAATCTCTCCTCCTTGAACCCCTCACATAAACTGGAACACAGTTACAAATAGGAACTGCTCCACTCTCTGAATTAAACCTGACAGATCTTGGAGCTGTCCCAAGATGTTTTGACGCCTGAGGCAGAAGAGCATTTGACACATGTGTGTGTCTCCCTGGGAGAAAGGATATGAAGAATCTAAATGTACCATCTGGCTGGGCTTTCATAAGAGGTAAAATCAGCTTCCCGAGCCAACCGACTAATTGTAGACAAGTTCGTTTAATATTCAACTCTTCTCCATGGATTTCTAGGAACATAAAGAGATATGATGCAAGACTGCTGCTTTTTGGGGGGGGGGGGTTGGGTCTGCGCCTCCCCATTCTCCAAATCCTATAATGTTTTCAACATTAACCTTGCCAAGTGTAGGCAAACCAAACAGAAGCAGCAGCCACAGCCTGGACTATGGACTATTGAATATGCACAATATTTGTGCATTTATGTCAATTCGGACGTATGTCAACCCTTTTCAGGTAAAGAATAATCAGAAGTGGTTGACCCTTCCCTTCTTCTAGAGGTGCCCTGGGGTTGTGCAGCTTGCCCAAGGCCATCTAGGCTGGCTCTTCTGGGATGCAGAGTGAGGAACTGAATGACCAGCATCTGGATTCACAGCCAGATCACTCAACCCACTGAGCTATCTAGCCAGCATCAAAGGTTATCTAGAGAGATGTGCAACAGATCTTTGCTGAACAGGAAAGAGAAACCGCAGCCAATTTTGTACATAACCAGCAGACAAGCTATTTTGCTGCCTGATGAAATGGGCCGGGTGCTACCCCTTGCCTCACTGTGCACAGAGAGACATCCATTAACCTTGGTGAGCTGGCATCTTGCCCCTGAGGGCAACAAGCTAACTGACAAAGCTCAGTAGATGTTGGAGGACTTACTCTCACCTCCCACCCAAAATGCCTGGCTCTGTGTCCCTCATTTTCCATTCGAAGCACTTTCCTCGCTCTGTTTCATGGTAGAGCTTGCCCTACGATGAACCCACCCTATAAAATACTGGCAGAGCACAGCTGTAACCATTAGTATTATCTGTAGTGGGGGAAACTGAGAGGCTTCAAAACATATTTATTAACTCATCTGAACCATGCACTCCCTAAAGATAAGGAAATAGGACTTTGTTTACACATTACAACATGCCAAGTCCTAGAAAAAAAGAAATGAAATTCCCCCACTTGCAAGCATGGGTTATTAAACTATTAAGGTCTGGCAGTTGTTGCAAACAAGTTAACACGGTATCTTTGCATAAAGCAAAAGAGACGTTTGGAGTTGGCAAGGATACAACAGAACACAACTGTCAACTAAATTCTAAGTCATAGGAATGACATTCAAAAGGACATGCACGTTGGCAAATCAAAGGTTTTTTGAATAAACTAATAAACTACAAAACCTCCATCCAGAAAAACAACATCACGCCAATGTCCTATGCTGCAGAGAGAGATCTCCTGCATTGCAGCAACAATTCCATTTAAAAAAGAAACATTTCAAGCTCCACCTGATTTTCTTAAGACTACTGTCCACAGGCCAGCACTTAGTATTAAGGCAGCTTCTTATATGGCTTTAGCAGCTGCATGGCAAACAAATCAGCAGGTGAAATGACTGCCATCTGCAAGCTGAGGGGCGGGTGGGGGGGGGAGGAAGGGTTTCTCTTACTTGGCTCCTAAATGAAAACAAAGTAAGCCCACAGGTCGTTAAGAAAAAGGAGGCAAATTGGCACCCCGACAGCCCAGCCAGCTTTCCACAAAGGATTTGTGGGTACACTGCAGACATTAAATATGAAACAAGACAGAATTGGGGAAACACCCTTATTAGGGAGGAGAGAGAGTGGTGAAATCTAAATCCAGCAGAAAATTCTCGGTTTCGGTTCAGCACTTGTTAAGCCCATCCCCACCTCAGGGGAAAACGCTCTGAACACGCAGGCTTGTGAAAAGATCAAGAGTCAAGGCTTTGTTCAAACGGCATCCTAGCCAAGAGGCTCAACCCTTAAGTGGATTCGTACAACTCCACCCCTGAGAGCGCGTCTTGGCTGCCCCTACGCACCAAGCCCAAATGACCCGGGAGCTTTATATAAGGCCTCAGCTGCAGGCAAGAGGTCGTCTGCCCCTTCAATGGAGCAGCAAGGCCCTCCGCTTGAGGAGAACTGGATATTTGCCTCCTGCTTGGGCTTCAAGATCTTGCTACGTCCCTCCTACCTCATTCCTTGTTGTTCCCCCCCCCTTCCAGGTCTCACTTCACTTCAGAGTCTGGCTCTCATCGTGGGCTGATCTCCAACTTAGTCTAGATCCTCGAGTTCCCTTAATAAGAACAATATTCTGCATTTATTTGCTGCAAATTGCGTTTCATCTTTTCTCCAATGAATTCAAGGATAAGTCCTGACTTTCCTATTTCCCCATTTTGTGGTCACCTCAATCCCAAGAGGTAGGTAAATCTAAGAAAGTAGGATGAGCTCATATATATATATAAGTCTATATATGACATAAACGGTTAGTCCACAGTTCACTTATATTTCATGATCCATCATCCAGTTCCTTTGGATCATAACAGTACCATATTTATACACAAATAACTGAACAATCAACCCTGAGTGCTCCCTGGAAGGACAGATCCTGAAGCTGAGGCTCCAAGACTTTGGCCATCTCATGAGAAGAGAAGACTGCCTGGAAAAGCCCTGATGTTGGGAAAGTGTGAAGGCAAGAGGAGAAGGGGACGGCAGAGGACGAGATGGTTGGACAGTGTCATTGAAGCGACCAACATGAATTTGACCCAACTCCGGGAGGCAGTGGAAGACAGGAGGGCCTGGTGTGCTCTGGTCCATGGGGTCACGAAGAATTGGACATGACTTAACGTCTAAACAACAAACTAGACAATATGTTTTAATCTGAAATTTAAAAGCCAAAACAACGGCTAAAGGATTTAACCCCAGAAAAGGTTAAGACACTGGAGAACTAATTTGTAGAGATTTTTTCAGGAAAGTTCACTGAACACTTAAAAGTTGCTGTGCCCTTGTTGCCACATTTCAGATTGGATTTGGAGGTTTCCGTTCATGCAGAACATGCAACAGGAAGTTTCCAAGGAGATTTTAAAAGAATCAAGGAGTTTGGACAAGACTAGTCACATCTTGCTGGAGGGTTCACACATATTTTGACAGTAGATTACTGCACATTTCCCCAAATGTAAGCAAACAGATATTAATAAAATTCAGCTACTCATATCCTTGAGATTAAGTCTTTGCAGTTCATGTGGCAGAGCTAATTATTTAGGATTATCTCAGTGACAATGCATCTGCACTTCAGGCAGGAGGTCCCAGGTCCAGTTCCCGGCAGCTACCGGCAAGACTAGGAGAAAAGCCCAATCTCAGGGTCAAATTAGACATTACCTGGAATGCCTATTTCCCTGCAATTAGCAAGCTTCCTTTTTAGCAACAGAAGTGCATACCCCAACTCCGCAATCAGAAAATAGGATGGGGTTTACTTTCCAGAGACCTTTCACAAAGCAAAACACAGCTAAATGCAAGCTATGAAGGTGAGGAATAGCAAATCCTGCAGCAAGAAGAACTCTTTCACCACTTGATGGAAGAGCATACGTGCTGTCTTGTTTAAATTGACCCTAACCCCGCCCCAACCCAAAAAGGAGCTGTACATCACTGGGTTGGATTTATGCCTGAAACAGACTTCCTCACCCCCTCTTCCATGTGGCAAACCCCACCAGCTTACTGAAAATAGGACAGAGGATAATAGATCCAACTGAACAGACTGGCCACAGGCACAAAGTGGAGGGGACCTTTAGAAAATGATTACAGGTACACTGCATCCATCTATGGAAGGCAGATGCTGGATCCAACCCAATGCAAACAGTTCTGAGTTAGACAGACAGGTTGCTTGATTCTGGATAATGT